CACCCATTTGGCAAACACACACTTTTGAGTGGAGTATCTGAGTGCATGTCAGGTCAGGCTTCTATAGGATTGTGTTTATGTAAGATGAACATACTGATAAAGTGCAGTGAAAGTCTAACCCTGCAGTTTTGAAAAGGTTTGGTGAACTTTCTTTCATCCCTTATGAAATTATTAATCTTTCAAGCAGGTGCATGAAATTAAAAGCAGATTTTTATGTTGGTTGCTTCAGAAAGATTTAGATTTAGATTGTTAAAATGGACCATAAAAAAAGTTAGACATGAGAATTTCTCTGGGAGACCAAAGCCTTAAGTGAGGGTTTGTCAATCTGCTAATCTTGGCACATGTGAAGTGCAATGTTTCTTCTATCCCCACAAACCAAGCAGAGAAAACGCCTGCGGTCAAGGATGGAAAACACAGGACATAGCGGTCACACTAACTAGCATCATCTCATCAATGCCTGACCACTAAAAGTATCTTGAGTCTATATTAGTTTTCCTGTTTTGCAAATTGCCCATGTCTCCAGCTCCATCTGCAAAGATCATCACGTGTTACCAACGAGAGTTTCCTTCAATGAGAGTTTCCTCCCCATATCTTCTGACTATCCACCAATGAAGTGCGCAGCTGACTGGTGGGACAGTCCTTTTAAAATCAAATATGTCTTCGCTGCGGTCTCCTCGGCATGCCGATGACACCAGAACTGTAGGTCGTTAGGATGTGAGCAGGCCAAACACATTTTAAAAGCCTTACCAAACCATGTAATCTTCAAAAATATTCAGAAGAACCATGTTATTATACAGTATGAGCCCCATAACAACCCACTACGGACACCGCTGAAACCTCCAAAACAAAGGTGCAATTTTTGATGATTCAACCTGTAAAATAAACAGTAACACTGAGCAACACTTAGTTTAGAGAAGACATGATATTCTGTGCTGAGAGGGGGATTTTTCCTCTGTAAACTGGAGCTGAGAGACACTTCGTACATGTCATGCAGGTTGACCACAACTAAGCATACGTAGGACTGTTTTCTTTTCCTGAATTATTTTTACACAGACTTGGCTGCCTGTGCATTTGATGTTTTCACATTTCATTTCCCACTCTCCTACTGTTACACCAAAAAGTTACAAAGTGCTGATTGAGGACCATCCTGCGCTCTCAGAAGGCGCTGCACCACCCTGTGGCATCCACAGGCATAGCAGGCCCTTTCCACAGGGATGTTATACAGCAGAGCACTCAAAGCAAAGCACAGCTTAGCTCAAATCCGGATGTATCAAACAGAAATATAAAGAAAACAAAGCTCTCTCTTTTCAGAGGCCGTGCGGTCTTTTATCTAAGCCTCCAGGTTTGCGTGATCTCACCACGCTACACGGTCACAGCACCAGTGCTGAGAGAATCCTATCTTCTTGGCTCACAGTAAAGTGATACCCTTTGAGGTGTGGCTGTAGCCACAGGATATCCTATGAAGTTGGGAAATCCCTCTATCAACGGTGCTCCCCGCCCTGCTGCACGTCAGGGCTAATCAGTCCTTAAGGCCTGGTAATGAGACGCCCGCCACCACTGTCTGCCAGGCATCGCCAGCCTGAGCCCACACTAACTCTGCTGCTCCTAATGAGTGGTAATCACCCAGCAGCTCCCCACAAACCACTGCAGGGATGCCGGCACGCACATGAAGCAGGCGAACCAAGGAGATGGGAGTGGAGAAAGAGGAGGGAACCAAAGGAAATGTTTACGTGGGGCCGCTTAAAAAACAACTTGTAACATTTCTTTGCCGTGCTAAAGAAATGTGGCTCCTTTAAAGTTTAAAACACACGGCTGTTTGATACACACCAGGAACTAATTCAGCACAGTGATAAAAACCTTTTACAGCAGCAAACTGAAAAATCACTCCTCCTCAGTAAATTTACACACATCCTATTTGTTATCCTGTTGTTTTTGGCATCCTGCCTCACCTAATGGAGTGCTGAAAACAATAATACCATCTGAAAGGGCATCAGCTCTGCTTCAGGAACCAACTGATGATAGAGTGTTTAAGTATATCGCAGTGATTAAATAGCAACTAATAGCACTATATTTGCTTCTTCCGGATGCTGCGGTGCTGCTCTGATTGGTAAATCCCAGCTGCATGACTGTGGGCAGCCTTCCTGTATATGTCGCACATGAACTAAATAAAAACAAACTCTTGACTCAGTGTTAGGACTCACATTCAGCACGGTTTACAAGACCACAGAATGACATGCCTTTTACCAAAACTCAAATTTAAACCAACACAGTCGTCTCAGAGAGCCCTCTGAGCCTGGACAGTGTCAAGTGAGCAAACGAATCACTTCCTGCTCTGACAGTTTACACAATATCTCATCGAGGTGCTGTAACCTATTAAGTCAGGTAAGGAAAGCGCAACGATCATCTCCAATTTGAACTCTAATGATAACGGATTTAGCAGAACCAGCACCTGCCACAACAGGCTGAGGGAGAGAAAATGAGTGCTCACATTCTTGTGGCAAAGGATGACAATTTAAGCGGGTGCTTGACTACGCCAGGAATCCCACCCCACCCTCCACTGCACAGACTATGGGCAGGAGAGATTGTGTTTATGTTACACTTACGCTCCACCGCACTCTGGAAATTGGGTATGCAACATTGACCCTCTATTTTGAGTAAATCAGTACTCAAGAGGCACTAGGATGCCTCGTGCTCGTGGAATATTTATTTGAACAGGTTTGTGTTAGTGCGTCCCACAGTCAAAGCTGAGCAGGACTGTGCCGGAGTGTCACCGGTGTCGAGTTTCTGGGAAGTTGGCCACGGGGCAGTCACATTTTGTATCTGTGTCACCTGTGCAGGCTCTTTCAGTGTGTTTCATGTTCCTCAGCTGCAGGGCTAAATCATTCACTGACACTCATTCATATTCCCTCCTCACCGAGCGGCGGAATAATAAATCTGGAGTATCGTAATACCACATGTCTCTCTGCACTACACAGGCCACAGATAGAGAACAGACTGACAGAGGGAATTGAAAACAAGTGCTAACTGAATAAGTAAATATGCATTACCATTAGGACCATTAAGGCTGATGTGAGTGCCAATTTGGCACGTCAGCTTTAATACATAAAGCCTGCCAAGGGCGACACTGCTACAGGGAGGGAGACAGAAACAGAGAGCAGGGTTACATTTGTCCTTCTAATGCAACTGTAGAGCTGAAACCAAAGACACAGACAGGGAAAGTACTTGATATGTGCATGTGCATTACAGATGATGACGTTTTGCTGAATAGGGGTTAGATGTTTCCATCATACAGAGCTATTACAGGTGCCATACAGCATGCTTACATCATTCAAATGAGTGCCAACACTTTGTAACACCCAAGAGAACAACATTTACCCAGACATGTGAAAAACTGTTAATGACAACAATCAGGTTAATGCAGAAAATGATTCAGCACTACCAAAAGGGCTGTTTTTCTTTAAGTTTTCCAACATTTTTATGTAAACATACCGTATTCAGACTCACCTATACATCCAGGAGAAGGTGAACTACACTGCTACAGGTCGACAGGTCTAACACACGAGTCTAACGTGCCCTTAGGGGACACTTCCTGCGCTCTCTTGCAGATTCACAACAGTTCCCAGATCAACTAACACTCCTGGATCCCGCACAACACCCATACCTATCATAAATTTGACTCTGCTGGAAAGGCTTCAAGTGTCATCACTCCACAGTCTACAGCCATTTGTCTCTGTGCACGTCTGCACTGTTTGCAGCCAAGGGGAGCCCTAACAACACCCATCAACACAGATATTTGTAGATACTGCTGAAAAGCACCAAGATCTTGCCTCTGCTTAGCGTGACATGCCACCTCAGTAGATTTTGTTGTTGTTTTTCTGAAGATTATGGGGACTTTGTGGATAGGAACTCTTCAGGTGAAACATGGCTGCTCTCCCACCTGACATGCTGACCTCATTTGAACGACCTTGGCTTCCCTGCAGGGTAAATGCTCTTCTGTAACTAAGGGGGGGGGGGGGGGACTAAGAGTGCAGTTCATGTGAGTAGGCACATAGTACATTAGCAGCCACTCTGAAGTGGAGGTCATAGTGGGCTACACCTAAAATCCAAGGCGTTCCCTGGGAACTTTGAAATATACACCCTTGTGCTCTTTCTAAATTAAACATTATTGTGTACATGACATGATTCATGAAACTCTAAATTTTTCAGATTAATTTCCTAACACGTGTTCCAAGTGTTTTTTAAAGCTGATGGAGGCAGCAGAAAAAAGACCCTGCCAGAGTTGTGTGATGTTTATGCTGGATGGGGGGAATTTTCTGTGCGAGCTGAGCAGACGTTTCGGCCACCAGTTCAGTCAGTCAGATTGCTTTATTGTTACCAGCTGTTGAGTCTGAGGCATATACACTCACCTTTCGCTCCGCGGCTGTTTTCAGAGTCGACTAAGGATATGATTTTACAAGTGTTTCAGCAAAATAATCACTCGACCGCTACCTGCCATTCAAACGTGCCAGGGGTTACTTTACAGTGGGCGCTGGCTCAATTGTCAGGGAAAGAATGGGGTGAACTCTCCTCGGCCAACATTACTCCGAGCCTGCGTCTATCTACCTATAATAGATGCTGTGTTTACGGGGTTGCAAAGATACTCCTTCACCCTGCTTGTCACAGAAAAAAGTAACTGTCAGCAGCTTCAGTGAGACCAAATCGTGCGCAGTCAACCTGCTGCTGCAGCCACCAGCTGCGAGGCCGCGGAGCGCTGCGCAACCGCCGCCAAATGACACCTCAGTGACCCGCAGATAGTAAAGCAACCAAAGCAACTCAGAAAACAAGTCAAAGTTATTGTTTGGTTTTTGGTGCAAACACGCTGAATAAACTCATTTTAAAGAAAGTTTTCAGTGAGTTTAAAAGAGTCAAAGAAAAGTTGTTACCTGCTTTACATTTCAAGAACCAATCAAATCAATGAAAGCAGCATCATGGACATAACTGTGTGTCTGCCAAGTCCTTACCCGAAATATGCTGCGGTTGGTCCAGGCAAGTTGAGAAGATACACTATAACTGTGAACGATAACCATCCCAGGAGTAGGTGTCCATCCAGCATTTTGCTGCGGCTCCAGGGCAGATCATTTCGTTTCTCCTGAGTAGCTGTGTAAAATCCCTTGTTGAACGTTCAACACTTCTTATACAGAGAGGAGCTGCGCTGCGCTCCTCCCATCAGCACAGAGAGAGCAGCACAGAGAGGGGGAGAGAGAGTAATATGGCAATACATACAGGGAGCTGAGCTGATTCACAATTCACTCTCAGGTTTCAGGCAGATAAATCTTCTCATTTATGATTGGCATGACAGTTTCTCCTCTGTGGCTGTTTTAAGCACACTGTTTGTGCAGACTGAGGTCAGTCTGAGCTGGCCTGTATATGATCAAATTCTTGTTGATCATCAGTCAGTGACAGTTTATTTCCAGAATGGCAAACCCTGCATTTGTGTAATCCAGCAAAAGCAGGATAATACAGTAATACTAGTCTGCTGCACTATAATGAAGTGTAAGTCCATACTGACTAAAAAAAGATGTTGTAGCGAGACTTTGCATTTTGAAATAGTTCATTTTTATAACAGCAGTGGAACGTAACTAAGTATGTTTACTCCACTATTGTGCTTAAGTACTGAAGTACTGCACTTAAGGACAGTTTTGACATATATAGCAAAACAAGTGTACCATAAGGACGACACCATCTGCTGAGGAAGATGGTGTGATACAACTGAAAGTTTCCAAAGTCAAGAATGAACTTTGACTCTAAAGTTTTGAAACATGTAGCAGTTTATTGAGTGAACTATTTCAACATATGCTTTGTACTTCTACCTCACAAACTTTAAGAGGGAAATACTGTCATTTTATTCCACTACAAGTATCTGACAGCTGGAGTTACAAGTCCCTTTGCAGATGCACAGAAACATATGATGGGCTTATAAAATATGCAACCAGAAAAACAGTTGTCATTGTACATTTCTGCAAACTATGTATATGTTAACTGTACATAATTATGTTGCAAATACATTGAAACTTCATGTTTAAAAGCACTGCAGGTAATGTGTGGTTAGGTTTAAGCACAAGAAGCACTTGGTTAAGGTTAGGAAAAGATCATGTTTTGGCTAAATTACCCAGTTTTGGGGCACACAGTCCCCCCTGGAAACACAGAAATGTCTTGTTGAAAAACAACCGCTTTCTGTGTCACTATCACTGCTGTAAAACCAGCCATTGGTCGCCAAAAAAACACCCACATTTAGGGCTAAAAAGTCACAGGAAACACAGCGACTGGTCCCTAAAAACACCCACATTTATAGGGGACTAAAGGGCCACAGAAAACAGCCACAGGTCCCTCAAAAACACCAACATTCAGAGCTATAAAGCTGCTGGAAACACAGTGATAGGTCCCTAGAAAACACCCACATTTAGGGGCTAAAAAGCCACAGGAAACAGCCACAGGTCCCTACAAGACACCCATATTTGAGTGCTAAAAAGCTGCTGGAAACACAGCCACAGATCCCTAAAAAATACTCACATTCAGAGCCATAAAGCTGCTGGAAACTCAGTGATAGGTCCCTAAACAACACCCACATTTAGGGGCTAAAAAGCCACAGGAAACACAGCCACGGGTCCCTAAAAAACGCCCACATTTAGAGCCATAAAGCTGCTAGAAACACAGTGATAGGTCACTAAAAAATACCCACATTTAGGGGATATAAAGCCATAGCAAACACAGCTACGGGTCCCTAAAAGACACCCACATTTTGGGACTAAAAAGCTGCTGGAACCATAGCCAAGGCTCCCTAAAAAAACACCCACATTTGGAGCTAAAAAGCTGCTGGAAAAACAGCCACAGGTCCCTAAAAAACACCAACATTTGGAGCTAAAAAGCCACAGAAACACAGTCACAGGTCCCTAAAAAACACCCACATGCGCTGCTAAAAAGCTGCTGGAAACACAGCCACAGGTCCCTTAAAAACACCCACATTTAGATGCTAAAAAGCTGCTGGAAACACAGCCACGGATCCCTAAAAAAACACCCACATTTGGAGCTAAAAAAGTCCCAGGAAACACAGCCACAGATCCCTAAAAAACACCCACGTTCGCTGCTAAAAAGCTGTTGGAAACACAGCCACAGATCCCTAAAAAAAAAAACACATTTGGAGCTAAAAAGCTGCTGGAAACACAGCCACGGATCCCTAAAAAACACCCACATTTAGATGCTAAAAAGCTGCTGGAAACACAGCCACAGATCCCTAAAAAACACCCACATTTGGAGCTAAAAAAGCCACAGCAAACACAGCCACAGGTCCCTTAAAAACACCCACTTTCAGAGCCATAAAGCTGCTGGAAACACAGTGATAGGTCCCTAAAAAACAACCGCATTTAAGGGCTAAAAAGCCACAGGAAACACAGTGATGGTCCCTAAAAAACGCACATCTTTGGGGTTAAACAGCTGCTGGAAACACAGCTTTTTTTTGTTGTTTGTTTGTTTGTCTTAAACAGTGGTCTAAAGCTTGGCAGGCATCTCAACCAGGTGACACACCATCCGCCTCCTGATGACAGTCGGCTTTTAAATATTGTTCTTGTATAAATGTTGTTACGATATGAAACATGCAAATGTAATTTATTTGTGGTTTGCAGAAAAGTCCAGTAACAACATTTTCATCTGATGACTGGGCTGAAATTATGATGAATTTTGTTGAACATTAATCTGTCAAGTGGTATTAACAAGTAAAATTAGTTTCACCTGAACCAGCTACAGTAAACATGTATTCACTCACAGGGGCCATTTTGCTGCAGAACAAGTACTTGTGTTTTTTAGTCAAGTAAGAAAGTAAGGTTATAAACACAGGATTTGTACTTGTGATTAAGTATTTTTACAAGTAACTGATCTTAAGACTTTATCTTAAAACTTTTCCACTGCTGCCTTGTACAGAGAGGTTTACAGTCCAAACTGTTTCAAGTTTTGTTCTAGAATTCGTACTATAAACTCATTTATTTGTATGTCCTTTATGTTGTCACGCCTGTGTTGGTTTCATCAGTCAAAAGTCATCATAAACTGCAGGAAGAGCTCCCTGTTTAGTAGATTTTTGGTTAAAGATTGCCTGTTGAAGTTAAATATCAGTCTGGTCTTGCCTTTCACGAGGCACAGCGATCACTTCTCCTAAACTGTGAGTTCACCTGCAGTTCACAATGAAGAAAGCAAATTTGTCTGCAAATATAACTGTAGGCGGTTTCGCAAGAGCTGAAGACGAAACCTTTAATCACTTTGCAAAATATCATATTGAGCACCGTAAATCAATTGGCAAACTATCAATAATTCGGGCAAGTAATGTGAACGCTTTGGCAGGCCTGCGCTTGAAAAATATTTACTCTTCCTACGCATTTGATTGCATAAGATTTGGAGATTACCAAAACGTTTAGTTATTGTCACAGAAAAGATTTTCTAACATGCAAACACTGTTGACTCACTTGTATTAGAAAGTTACAGGATTGTCACAGGATTAATGTGTGAAGCTTGAGACAATGGATTCTTTCACAGGTAAAGTTAACTGAAGGACTGAGGTTAATATTTGTTTTATTGTGCGTATTATGTGAAAGCATAGACTTAATAAACAGTTAAATGACAGTAATTCCCAGGAACATTTCACTGACATGACAACAGAATTAACAGGTTTATTCTCGAGCATGACAGCCATAATGTAAGAGGTGCTATTATAGATTTGTTGACTGAGTTGACCTCTTGATTTGTAAATAATATCCACCAACTGTTTGCCAGCTGACAATGTCTTTAGTCAGGGACAACCCTACTTAACTCCTGTGTAAACACCTTTCAGTGGCTCAGCTACCACCTGACATCTTTTGTGTCCGCACACACCTTTATTTCTGGCACGTAAAGAGAGAGAGGTATCTGAACTTGGGAAGGGTCCAGGTTTTCTCAGCTACACCTGGGGAGCGCTCCTGCCAGGATTCGGGATGAAGTCTATTCATTCCCAATCTCAAACAATATCCAGCCCGTTCACCGCAGATCACAAACAGCCACAGATGGGCCAAGTGGCTTCGAGGAGCCAAGTTTCTACTTACTGTGTGTAAACAAAATAACACCTCAAATTAGAGATTAAAGTGAGCAAGCTTGATAATTTAAGGTTGCATGTTTCACATGATACTGGATCTTTTATGATCACTCCCGTCAACAGATCTCCAGGTATTCAGCGTCAGAGTACGAGTGAACATGACAGGTTGACTCGCTGCATTGTGGATGGTTATTTTAAAGCAAACATTTAGCGTATTCACTTTCAGGTGACAGTAAAATGAGAAGATTGATACCACTGTCATATTTGTCAGCTGGCAGCTAGCTTAGCTTAGCATAAAGACTAGAAACAAGTGGAAACAGCTAGCTTTGCTCCGTCACACTGTAACAAATCCATGTACCAGCAGCTCTGAAGCTCACTAATAAACGCATTGTATTTAATTTCTTTAATCTGTACAAATACCTAAGAGAAAAACTTAAATTTGGGGTTTTTAACAGGGGGTTACACATGGGACTATTTCCTGGCCAGACACAGTGACTTCCCCAAAGTTTTATTGTCACTGTGAGGTTTTGTTGTACGATAGGTAGGCAGATATTCAGACAGCCTTCAGACAGAGCCATGCTTGCTTTTCCCTCCATTTCCAGATATAAGAGTGGTGTCGATCTTCTCATCTAATCATTTGTCAAAATATTATGAATGAAGAGGTCAGGACCAACATGAATTCACAGAAATACATGAAATGACCACAACCTCTGGTGGTGGCATGTATTGTGTTGAAATTACGTGGTGGTAGCACATTTGGATTTTGGCACCAAAATTACTTGGCTAGGTTTAGAAAAAGATTGTGTTTTCAGTTAAAGTAATTACACTTGTAATGTAAGTTCTTCGTAAAGTGACGTACATTACATAAATACATAAAGGACATGAGTATGTTACGTTAAAAGAAGTCAGTGTTGACTTTTAGCATCGCATGGGACACAAACAGTGGCCCCCAGGTGAAAGTCCAGTGTTTGTTGACCCATTCATAAACCCTGACTTCTTCCCCACATGGACGATCTCGTTCTTTATACTACCTATGTGGTCGTAAC